TTGTATATAAACTATATTCACACCAATTCATGTCTTCAAACATGTTCTTTGGATAGTAATGAATCATCACATTCCACCATCCTTGCTGCAGGTAGGTCCCTTCCCCTCCCACCCCTCTGCCCTATCTAGAATTTGTCTATTCCTCCTGTGCTCCCCCTCCCTATGAATCAGCCTCCTTATATCAGAGAAAACATTCGGCATTTGTTTTTGGGGGATTAGCTAACTTCACTTAGCATTATCTAGGAGATATTATTTTTATATGGGTTAGTTAGACTTCAGTAGCCACACTGAAATTGTATGCAATTTTATTTGCAGTGCGTGTCACCAGCCCAGGACCTTGCATATGTTAGCCAAGTAAGTGCTCTACCACTGAGTTATACCCTCAGCCCTGGAGGTATTTTTTTAATGGTAGAACAGTAATATTTGTAACTGTACTGAGTGATTATTAAGCAGAGGGGAAGTATTCAAGCACTTGTATTTTCAATGTGTTTGTTCTGTAGGATGCTTCTACAGAATTTCACCATTTGTGTGTGTGGGGGGGGGGGCAAAGCCTCAGACTTTCACCTTTTGTGTGGAAAACTCCCCTATCCTATAGTGATTCTGTTTACACATGTAGCAGATCAGTGAGAATCACTTATTAAATCACCTGGGGGAGAAGAAAATCTATCTCGAAAACACTTTTCTCAGGAGCCCTGTTGGGGGCCTGCTGCCACTGAAGCTGTGAACAGAATAGGGTTGAATGGCTCTGTTGGTTGGAGGCCGGTGCTGCTGAGGTCAAGCTCACCATTGGGCTTCTTCTGTGCACTGCTCAGTTCCATTATGTCACCGTCCTTGCCATAGCCTTCACCTTCATAAGCAGTATCACAAATCTTTTCATTCAGCTATTTGCCACACAGATATGGAGAGTCCACAGGCAAAAGGCTCTGAAAGTGTGACAAGCTCCTCATTATCGAGAATACAAGTAACAATAAATGTTGATGAGGATGTGGGGAAAAAGATGTACTATACATTGCTGATGGGACTGCAAATTGGTGCAACCACTCTGGAAAGCAGTATGGATATCCCTAAAAAAACTAGGAATGAAACCACCACTTGACTCTATTATTCCACTCCTTGATTTATACCCAAATGACTTAAAATCAGCATACTACAGTGACGCAGACACATCAATGTTTATAGCACAATTATTCAATGTTTATAGCACAATTATTCACAGTAGCTAAGCCATGGAGCCATCGTAGGTGCCCTTCAACACATGAATGGGTAAAGAAAATGTGGTATATAACACAATGGAGTATTACTCAGCCATAAACAAGAATAACTTTATAACATTTTCCCGTAAACAGATGGATCTGGAAACTATCATGCTAAATGCAATATGCCAATACCAAAAAACCAAAGGCTGGATGTTTTCTCTGATATATGGAAGCTAACCCACAATAAAGGTGAGGGGAGAAGAATAGAAGTTCAGAGATTAGACAAAGGGGAATGAAGGGAAAGGTGAAGGATAGGAAAAGGAAAGACAATGGAAGGACAAAATTTTCATATGTACATATATGACTATACCACAGTGGATCTGACCTTACACATCCATAAGAAATTAATTTTTAAAAATATATGGGTAAATAGTAGAAATATCAGTAAAGGGAAGGAAGTTGGTGGTGGGGCAGAGGAGGGGAAGGAGAGATACTGAGGTATTATATTCCATGCTTTTTATAATTATGTCAAAATGGATTTTACTGTCATTAGAAATTAAACATAACCAACCAATAAAAAAAGAAAGAAATGTGACATGGTTTTGTGACTTGTGATGGCACTTGGTAAATTCAGTTGTATGTGACCTTTTACCTCTTCTTTACTTTTTTTGTGACCCTCTGATCTCTTTCAGATCATCCTGGTTAAACCCAAATGTTCAAGCTCTTTATGCTGGCTTTTTACCTGACTTTTCAGGCCTCTCAACTCAGTTTATATTTCTTAGTTGCTTCAGTAGTCCCAAATCTGAAAATAAGTGTACTCTATCTTATTACATCCATTCTTGCTACTTAGTTAGATTGCTAAGAATAGCAATACAAAATAAATAGATCATATCACTTCTTTAGAATCTACTAGGGATCTAATATTCTTTAGCTAGAAAGTTAGCTCACAGAAATGGAATTCTACTAGTGGAAATTTAGTATGGCAAAATATTTGCTTATATATGGGCCTTCATAGATCCTTGATATCATATCCTTTAACTATTTAATGGGAAAAACCCTCTCAGTCTCTCTAAATACCTATGGCATAACCTTGTACTGTAAATACTAAGAAAGAAAAAATAATAAAGGGGATAACATTTAGAAGTCATGTTCCCCATTACTGGTTTGTGTTCTCCAAGTACACCCTCTCTGATACCTAAGACAAGGTAACAGAAGAAAAAAAGAAGGTATAAATCTATTAAATCAAATGCATGTTGCTTAGATGCTACTTAAAAGAAAATGAATTCTCAGTGTATTCTCAAGGTCTATATGAAAAAGCTAATTGTAAGAGCAGTTAAATGCTTCAAACTCTTGTTGAGCATAATTGTTGTAACTCAGTAGCAGAAGTTTTATATACCCTTTTGATTATTTTCAATACCAATAATGTCTCATCACTTATGGGCCAAACTGGTTTGTTAACATTGTAAAAGTGTAGATAGTTCAGATGTAACAGTTCAGAAGAAGGAATTAAAGGAATTTAGGGAGCAAATGAAAAAAATTCAAGAAGATTTTTTTTCTATCAAATAAATAACTATAGAGGTATAAGCTATTTTTCCAAGTCTAATTTATTGATTCAAAAACAATTACTGTGCATCTTAGGGTTTATAGAGAATGAGAAATAGAACATGGCTCTCTTTTTTATTGTCTCCATGTTTTCTTTGTTTCCACTAATCAACTTTTAAAATCCATCTATGAAAAAGTTACATTTCCTAAAAAAAATTCCACCATTGTCCTCTGAGTTATTTAAATGCATGTGAACAGTTTCATGGTAATCCATAAGAAGGAATAAGACAAAATTCATTTCAAAATGATAAAATAAATATTAAAATTGCATCTAGAGATATGTTTTCAGTAATTTACTTTAACCCCCCAAAGTTTAATTAATTCAAATTTCCCTCTCTGTTCATGAGTGATAAGATTGACAAATCATAGGTAAACAAGCCAAAACCAAGGGGAGAATAAAAAGGACCCCAAGAGATAGCCAATTATCAGTATATATTTAGTCAAATCTATATCTTCTTGGCTTTAACAGTAAACAGTGGACATAAAATCCATAGTGATGAATTTGGTACTTCTGAATACTCAAAGAAGTTTTATATACCCTTCAGTATAAGTTTAATATGAGTGTTTTGAATCTAGTATTTACTTCTAATGAATACTTCACATATTATATTAACAATTCCGGCAACTTATAATAAAAAGCACATTTGCAGCAGCGAAGAGAAAAATCAAGTCAGAAAAAAAGATCAGAAACTATGGAATTCAAAAAAATTCTTAGGCTATAGAAAAGTTCCTCAAAATGGTATACCTTTGCAAATAGACAATTATTTTGCCAACAACCTGAAGTCTATTCATGTATCTTTCTCCTGGAAGTTCTTGAACCCTGGTTCAATAACCCTTCACATACAGAAAGTGAAATCCTGAGGTATGATGGTTATTACACTTGGGCATTACATTTAGCTCTCAACTTCCTGTCAACTGAGGTGACAAAGTTAAACACATTGGGTTACTAAGTTCTCAACATCTAAAAAGGGAAGCCGATCAGTTCACAAAATTATAAGCAAAACTTGTAATTTTAAAATGGCAGTGTTTATACATTTTATGAAATGATTAATTTATAAACAGTAATCAAGTAATATAAAAGGATGTAGCATAATTTGATGAAATTCTTCAAAAATAAGCAATCAGAGGAAGAATATCTATGCTAATTATATTGACTACCATATTAAATTAACTGCAGTGTCTCATTTCTAGCCTTTCTGGTAAAGAGCAAATTTTCTATATATGACTTTCTTTAAAGGTAGATTTACCCACCTAATATTATTTGATTAAAGCTGGCATTAATCTAATATATTCCCATGAGTACACACCAGCTAAGCAGCAAGGGAAACCTAAGGGTATAAAGAGAAATTGACCTGTGGTTAAATATCTACTATTAATACTTCATACCATAGAAAAATGACATGCATTTGATAGCAAATAATCACTTTAGGTGCCCACTCCTTCTAACCCCAACATTACTATCTCAAAGTCAGCTAAATAACAAATTGGTTCTCATTACGGTTATAGGCATAGGCAGTATACACTAGTTAAGAATATAGTCCCTGCAATCAGAGATGGGTTTTCCACCATTTAGTAGCTGTGTGACCTTGGGTAAGGTCATTTAATTTATTTGAGTCTCAGTGTCCTCATCAGTAAAATAAGAATGCCACTGTTATCTCAGTCCTGTTCCTAGACTGTGCTGGAACCTCTTGGAAATATTTGCTTTGTGTGACTCTTGCATAATAAATTAGTTGAGTCACCTAAAAGCAATACATCACTGCTATTCTAGCAGCCCAATTTCACATGGCTCTGCAAAGGAAATACTCAATAGCTAGTAGGAGCAATTCAGTTGCCCAGACACTCTGCTGGAATTGGGATCTGGCTGGGAGATCTCAGAACAACCTTGTTTGTATGAGTGCTAGAACTCCTAGGAGGATCTTGATTACCAAGTTGAAGGTTGCTACAGTTGATTGGGAAAAAAAAAACAAAAAACACCTAGAGGTACAGAGCTAGAGCAGGGTCCTATTTGATATAGTCTAAGAAAGATACTGGTCTATCTCATAGGGTCACTGAGAAGGTTTAATAAAGTAATCTATGTAAAGAACTTGACTCAGTACCTGGTTCATAGAAAGTTCTCAGTACATGATGGCAATGATGGTTGCTCTTATCATTATTACCAAACATGCACACTGAATCTCATGACTCATCTGGTTTTCATTTCAGTGGATGGCTGCATTGACTGGTCAGTGGATCTCAAGACATACATGGCTTTGGCAGGTGAACCAGTTCGAGTGAAATGTGCCCTTTTCTACAGTTACATTCGTACCAACTACAGCATGGCCCAAAGCACTGGGCTCAGGCTTATGTGGTACAAAAACAAAGGTGATTTGGAAGAGCCCATCATCTTTTCAGAGGTCAGGATGAGCAAAGAAGAAGATTCAATATGGTTTCACTCAGCTGAGGCACAAGACAGTGGATTTTACACTTGTGTTTTAAGGTAAGTATCATGTGAAAATATTACTCAATCATGTGGCTGATAGTCTTTTGATTAGGACTGGAGTATACGCACATGTACCTCACAGTATATGGTGGATATGTTCTTAAAAGCTTACAGGATGGGGCTGGGGTTGTAGCTCAGTGGTAGAGTGCTCGCCTAGCATGTGTGAGATGCTGGGTTGGATCCTCAGTACCACATAAAAATAAATAAAATAAAGGTATTGTGTCCAACTAAAAAAAATTTAAAAATAGCTTACAGGACATGGAGTACTTCAGTAAATTCAATTCTAATTACCTATTGAAAATATGCAGCAAATTTGTATCAAATTATCATAAAGTACTGTGTGTGCTTATTTAATATAGAAAATTGTGTGACTCTTTTCTTTTCCAACTCCACCCCTGCCCCAGGGTCTTATATGAGTAATTACTTTTCCATAGAGCCAATTGGCTCAATGATCTTGATAGCTGGCCATGAAAATGATGTTAAGTATTTTTAGGCCAAGGTCTCTCTTTCCTTGTTGATGGAAAATAACTCCAATGCTGCTAGGAGGCCTCTTAGCAAAAGAGCTACTGTTAATATCCTTTGTAGAATTTTCAATGTGAGTTTGTTTCTACTGTGTCTAAATATTCAGCACAGATCTCTGTAAACACACAGCCAACCTGAGTTTCTAGGTGCTATACTGGGAAGATTTCACAGACAAAATTCTTGCTTGCAAGAAGTTTACAGTGAAAAGCAATCTGTTTTATCTTTAGGGATTGTACAATATGTCTTCCCTTCCCCCTCTCTATCCCAGTACTAGAATCTAGGATCTAGCATCTCATATAGAGACTGGATTAGGTATTGAAGTAGATAGCTGAGATGACCTTTAAATCACCTTTCAATTTTGCCGTTTTGAGAGTCTCTGATCTTGCTCAACAGGGATCTGAACTCTACTATTTGATTTTAACTTTTGAAAATACAGACCCTATTTTTGTCTCCTGTGGACTTTGATGCCAAAGCTATGTCACTTCTTCATCAAAAACACTTGGAACTGCCTGGTGAGGTCTCATTGTTCTAAAGGGCAGGAGAACAAGGTGGTGTATAAAATTGAGAACCTTCTTGATGCCTTAAGAATCACTTTAATGTAGGGAGGGGAATGTTGGAAGAACAAATGGTAAGTTCAGTGTCTGTTTGAGGTAGAAAAAATCCCCAGGATTTTGGCAGAAGCATCAATTATTTTCATCACACCCTTAGTGTGCAGCTCCTGGCAAAATTGAGAAGTAGGTGTAATTCAGCTATAGTGACTGAAACTGTATTTTCTAGGGTGGTGTTACTCTTTTTCTAGGGTGTAACACCACCCTAGAAAATACAGTTTCAGTCACTATAGCTGAATTTCAGTCACACCCTCTATATCCTCCATCTTCTATATTTCAGTCACACCCTCTATATTTCAGTCACACCCTTTATATCCTCCATCCTCACTGCACAATCTGCCAATCAAAAAGATCCCTTTCTCTCCACCTACCTCTATTGCTTTTGTTTGTTGTTTTCACAAATTTAATGTTTATTTGCAAAGCATTAACTCAGTATGCACAGGTTTATAATGAGTCAATTAACTAATTATTGCTTACTTCCTCTGCCCTACTTATGTCCTCAGTCTAGATACCTCTCCTCTTTTTCCCTCCCCCCTCTAAACCACTCTCCTACTCCTAGCAATGATAACAACTTAGTGTGAACATTACATGCATTTTCCTTACTTTTTAAAAAACTACACAAATATTTTACATGGAGATTCTCCTCATTGTTTTACAAAATAAAAGCAGGATTATATATTTCTCGGCATTTTATTTTCTTAGTAAAATAAACTTAGTAGTAATCTCTCCAAGTCATTTGAGAGCTCACTCACTCTTTTTTTTAGTGTATAATATTCTGTGTTGCTTAATATTTTATAATACCACAACTGAAATATTAATTTTCCAATTGAAGAATATACACTTTGTTTACAGATTTTTATGTGTATAAAAGTGCTATAACAAAAATTCCCTATTTATTTTTAAATGTACTTTTAAGCTTTAGAGTAATTTGATTTACAGAATTATTTCAATGAAAGTACAGTTTCTGTATATTTTTCACTCTTATTAGTATCTCACATTGCCTATGATATATTTATTACAACTAATGAACCAATGAACAAATGTAATAGTGGTATACTGTTCAACAGTAAATACTTTCTTTGTATTTCCTGAGTCTTTCCTTAATATCCCTTTCTGTTTCAGGATCTCATCTGTAATACCTCATTCCATGTAGTTGTCATGTCTCCTTTAAGCTCTTTTTGTCTGTGGCAATTCATCAGACTTCCCTTGTTTTTGATAACCTTGAATGTTTGAGGTGTATCAGTCAGATGTGTTTTAGTTGAAATATGTCTGGTGTTTTCCTCATGGTTAGACTGGGATAATGTGTTTTGCAGAGGAAGTCTGTAAACATAAAATACCATTCTCAACACATTGTATCAAAGGTGGAATGGATCAATATGACTTATTACTGTTGATGTTAACCTTGATCACCCGGCTTGAGATAGCATTTGCCTTTTTTCACTGTAAAGTTGCTGATTTTGCCTTTCTTTCCATACTGTAGTCTTTGGAAGAAAGTCATTATTTCACAGTTTACAGTTGAGGGTGGGGAGTTGTGTTCTACCTCTTTCAGGGTGGAATATCTACAAGAATTATCTATAACTCTTTTGCATGGGGAGATTTGTCTTTTCTTCTGTATTTATTTATTTATTCAATCATTTAGTTTTATTAGTATGGACTCATGGATATTTATATAATGCATTGGATTATAATGCAATTCTATTTTATTTTCTTGCTCCAAATCTCTCAAATTTGCCCATTGGGAATTCTTTCATTGGCTTTTTTGTTCCTTTGTTATAACCCCATCAATTTGGGATTGTTTTGCTTACTTTTATTTTTTGTAGTACTTATGAATGAACCCAGGGGTGCTGAATTACTGACCTATATTCCCAGCTCTTTTAATTTTTATTAGTTTTTAAAATTTTGAGAGAGGGTCTCACTAAGTTTCCCAGGCTTGTCTCAAACTTGTGATCCTCCTGCTTTAGCATCTCAAGTAGCAGGGATAACAGGCGTGTGCCACTGCAACCAGCTATTTTGCTTTTTTTTTTTTTTTTTGCAGCATTTTCTTACATTACCAAAAAGTGTTTCCAGCTTATTTTGTGTATTTCCTGCCTCAGGCTGAGAATTAGAGAATTATCCATTTTCCCAAGAGCCCTGCCTGATTCACTTTAATAAAGAATAGCACTAGAAATCAAGATTCAGGTGTTAGGTGTACTCATTTCTTCTAGGGTTTTGGTGCTTCTAAGTCCTATCAGCTGAAAATTTGTTTGCTTTTAAATGAAATATTGCACAATTTCATGCACAAGTTCACAGATGGTGATGGAATACTCTGAGAGTAATGAAACTTCCCAATATCCTGGAAGTGCTTTCCTATACATGGCCCTCTTTCAAGTACACATCAGATTCAAATTGTTTATATCTATTGTAGATCAAATCGGAGTTAGTGGTTCTCAATTCACATATAAGTCAGTAAAAGAGAAAGGGATGCCATTCTATTGAGCACAGGCTTTGATTCAAGTATAACTGGTACCTTCTTTTTTTATGCAGAAGGCCTTAGGGAACAATTGGAATTGATTGTGTTGGGTGGAACTTTTGAATATTATCTATCATATGTATTTTTGTTAAAGAGAAGCAAAATTTGAAAACCACTGTTCTAAAAGAAGCAACCAAAACAACAAGAAAGATGACCTGAAAAGGGGATGATTAGGAATCAGGAAGGAGATCTGGGGCAAAGGGGTAGGAGATGGGAGGGTGGACATGATCAAAGCTCAATATAGCCATGTATGGAAATGCCACAGTTACAGTGAAACCTATTAATTTGTACAATTACTAAAACTTAATAATTATAATTAAAAAGAATCTTACACATTTGACAGATTAAAGTCTTAAATTAATTGTAGTCAATTAATTATACTTAAAGAACTTGGAATTTGGGTAAATGATTTAAATATCATGCAGAAAGATAAGCTTGTGAATATAGAAAAATTAATCCAAAGAATGTATCAGAATAATCTAGTCTGTTAGCACAATAAAAGAATGTACACAAATGTGCAATGTGTCAGGCTTAGTGTTACGCATCTGTAGTTCCAGATATTTGAGGGGCTGAGGCAGGAGGATCACTTGAGCCCAGGAGTTTGAGGCCAGTCTGAGCAATATAGTAAGACCCCATTTCCAAAACAAAAGTACAGTAGTGTTTTCCATCTATCAATCATCCAACATGAAATGATAATCAAGAATTTTAACAACTAGAACAGTAATGTTCAATAAAATAATAATGAAACACAAAGAAAATATAAAGGAAGCAACCATTCTTGTCAACTCAAAGACATAGAAATTTAATTTTAATATACATAGATGAAGTAACTATCATTTTTTTCTGTGAATAACAAACATTTCTGATCTAGTAGTAGCCACTGACTTCAAGTATGTGCCAAGTGATAAATTACCTCCATATAGGTGATTTTATATAATTGTTGAGTGACATTTATAGTTGAAAAAGGTTCTTAAATTGACAGTGTTGATATTCACCTAAAATTCCTAATTTGATACTTCAATTTAACCACAAATGAGTTTTCTTAACCTTATTAGAAATTATTCTATTTATTTCATTGTGTTTGAAATACAGATATGAAATAATATTAATATTCTTCACCTATTTAAGTCATAGTAAGGTTACTGTTTGTGATAGTTCAGTAACTAATTACTTTAAAATTTTTATTTAACCTGTCTCAAGAGCAATTATTTGAATTTATCATCATGCTAATAGATTAGGAATAAATGATTATTGGAAGATAAAGTCATATTTTGAGATGCAGTGCCAATCCAAAAATTCCTATTTTCCTACCTCCATACCCAAATCTTTTCAAAGAAGGCATATAATAGAATAATGAT